TAAAGTGTTAATAATCTACCAACGTCTGACCACCTAATCACCCATTCCTCTGATTTCTTCACCATCCCTAGATATCGAGATAGAAAACCTGCACACCCGAGCAACGCGATCTAATATTCAATTTAACTAACGAGCACGTATTTCGGCGTTCGTGTTATATCTCGTTTGGCTGTACCCGCAACGAGATGCGTGCGTAAACGCTATGCCACTTGATGTATGGAAGTAGACACACCAAGTTACACATAAAACAGCTGATAAATGGACGAGCGCGTTGCTGCCTGGGACTTGAAGCGGTAGGTGTAGATACACTATTTTCCCAGAGAAAATAAAATGTTCGCGACGATGTTTCCACGAAAATTCCACGAGGATTCACGTTCTATATACAGGGTTAGGCGATTGAAGTGTTACCAACTTCACACCGGTATATCTGGCAACGCGATATTGCCAACTATGTCAAATTCATACCAATAACAGCTGTTTATGTTGTTTACAAGCTACCACAAGCATTTGCGTCTAAGTTTCATAGAACAAAAGTTATTCGAAATGGAATTCAAACGTAATAGTGTGATTGCGTTATATTTGAGTGGAAAATCACAACCAGCTATTGTTCGTGAGCTCAGGCATCTGAAAGTGAATAAAATGTTTGTGTATCGCACCATAAATCGTTATAATGATACAGGCAGCATTGCCAAACGCTATGGCGGTGGACGAAAGAAAAACAGCAACATCACCTGAAATGGTTCGGAAAGTGAAGGCTCGACTTGAACGAAATCCACGCCGTAGTGGTAATCAAATGGCCAGAGAACTGAAAATATCCCAGCGAAGCATCCGACGCATATTCCAATATGAGCTCAAGGTAAAGCCTTACAAGTTCCAAAAGGCACGTGATCTTACACCAAAGCAAAAAAAAGTTAGACTCGAAAGAGCAAAGGAGTTGTTACGCTTGCACGAACGTGACGAATTTCCAAACATTGTGTTCTCTGATGAGAAAAATTTCCCTATTGAGCAGTTCATAAACTCTCAAAATGATCGTGTTTACTTAACTGAACGCACTTACGAAAATTTGAGCCTACGAACGGCAACCCGAAGTAATTTTACATCTCAAGTAATGGTATGGGCAGCTGTGACCACCGATGGACGCTGTCCAATCGTTTTCATCGAGCCTGGTGTCAAAGTCAATGCGACTTATTATCGGGAAAATGTTTTGGAAGCTGTTTTAAAGCCGTGGGCACGCAAATATTTCGGTCGTACACAATGGACGTTCCAACAAGACTCGGCACCGTCTCATAAAGCTCGTGTGAACCAAGAATGGTTTAAAAACCATGTTCCACACTTCATTTCGTCCACACAATGGCTTTCGAATTCGCCAGATGCAAATACGATGGACTATTCCATCTGGGCCATTTTGGAGAGCAAGGTGACGACTAAAAAATATGCCAGTATGGATGCGCTGAAGAAAGCCATTGTACGGGAATGGGCCAAAATACCGCAATATCATATTCGTGCAGCATGCCACTCATTTTTTAACCATTTGAAGGCCATAGTCAAGGCAAAAGGTGGCCACATCGAGCTAAAGTGAATGGATTTTAAAATTTTTATTTCCACACATTTTTGTAATTTGAATCAATAAAAAATAATTTCATCCAAAAAAAATATGGTCGTTTGAATAGGTAACAGTTCAATCGCCTAACCCTGTAGTTACATATAATACATATGAATGATATCTTAACACAGATTTTCTATCCGTAAAGGGCGCAGAAACAAAAGTTTTCGCGGAAGAACTATTAAAACCCTGAAAACTGCCTTGGTACGAGAAGTTTCTTCCGAGTATATGCAGGGTGAGTCACTAAGAACGACTATTTATCTAAAATAACTCATTACCAATTGGTTGTATCAAAAAACGTTTCAATGAATTATATTGAGGGACCCATCGGATGGATGAAATTTGATTTTTTAATCTTATTTTTTTTCCAGATATCAAGGTAACCTTGAGTTTTTTCAAGATCAATGCGTCAGTTTTTTAATAAATTTGTCCCTCGATCGACAATAACGCGGTATTATAAACAAGATGCACTGACCTTGAGAGAACTCAAGGTCACCGTGATATCTTAAAAACAAATGAGATATAAAAGAAAATTAAATTGTATCCATCCGATGCATCCCTTCAAATGCTACATAATTAATTAAAACGTTTTCTGATACAATCAATAGGTAACGAGTTATTTCAGGTATTTCCTATTGACTCACCCTGTATACCGTATACATGTACCCTATGTATACTGGATATTGCAGGCATTCGGCACGCCTAGACTCAATAAGCAAAAACGATTGACGCAGCAAAGGCATCGTAGATGGAGAGGGCTCCACTTTTTCCGTGGCAGCCACCTGCGGATCGTTCATCATACCCGGTAATGCATCGAGCATCCCGTTTCTCCCCGTTCTCTTCTCCCTTTTTGGCCGAGGGATCGAGCGAGAAGCGGCGCGAGAACGATCTTTGACGCGTACAAGGAGCCACGACCGATGCCTCTTCCTCTTTCACTTCCGTTCCATCGCCCCCCCCCC